GTTGTTGTTTTTTGTATTTTTTTTGTCAGTCAGGCTCTTCTCCAGTTATTTTGTTGTTTTTTCTTCAAAGACCTTTAATCACTGAATGAAAACATTAACATTTCATAACAATCTGTTATGTGAGATTAGCTTTAGCTCAGGTTTCTGCACAGCTGTGAGACAATAAAACGGAGACTCGGTTCTTAAATGTTGAGTTAAAAACCTGAACGTTAACAAAACCAAACCTGGAGTTGTGCAACCTGCTGCTTCGTCTCTTTACGACTTCGACCAAAGAAACTTGAGTAAATGTTGGATTTAAACTGGTGATAAAGGATATGTTTTAATATTAGAAACATTAGACGAACATTAACATTAGAACAACGTCAATGGTTCTGATGTTTTGGCTTCATGTGGGACCTCAGTTAGTTTTTATTATCTTATCGAGGTTCAAAAATGAGGCTCAAATTGTCACTAAAACTTGTTGAAAATGGTCGATCCATGTTTCCTCTGACTCACAGCTTTCCTGTTCTCCAAAACCACCAGAAAAATTACATTTTTAAGCAAACTTGAGGCAGATTGTTGGTTTTGTGGCTCAACTGGAGATTTTATACAATCAAAATACGACGTCAGAACAAACATCAAGTTATTTTTGTAATAAAGAGGAAAACAGAAGCGATTCTAACTTTATTAAACATCAGGCAGCTTAAAGTCTTTGAAGATTCAAAATCATTCAATAAAACCCGACAGTGGGATTGTTTCTCTTCATTTTAGTGAAGGAAAGGTTAAAACAGCTCTTATTGTCTGTCGCCATTGAGCCAAATCACTTTCGCTCTGAGGGTTTAAGTTTTTTTTTTTTGTAAAAATCGTAGCGAGTGTTTGCAGCGCGGGCTTCGTTGCCTCTCCAACATTTGGAGAAAAGTTTTAGTTTTTTTTTTTTCGCGATCGTCTGCAGCTCAGAGCCCAAATGTGATTCTGTACGTGTTCTCCTGCAGGAGGAGTGTGGCGTCATTACATCACAACTTTCCATGATTCCCTCAGCCTGTGTGTGTGTGTGTGTGTGTGTGTGTG